AGGTAAACTTTGGATCAGTGCTCCTATCAGGAATTGAATGGTTGCACATTTCTTTAGGTTGACACTTAAGAGACTGGCATTCCATTGTACTATCTTCCAGAAATAATATACTACAGGCACCAGAGTTTCCAGCTGATGGATTTATATTTTAAGCCCCAACTTCTTGATTCCTAGTTTGTTAGCTCTTAGGAGGATAGTTGTTCTCAATGCCTATTTAGTTTTGCCTTTGCCTCTTTTAGTGATGAGACTGTCTCACGATTAAGGAGTATTTGTTTCCCAAGTTTTTTGAATTAGCATTGAGAAAACATCATTGCTTCATATTGATTGCACACAGAAATTTATCTTTGCATTGATGGGTTATGGCAAGCTTCTTACCCTAGACTATCTGATTTTACTTCAAGAGACTCTTCACCCAAGATGATGTGGTGCAATATTGCTTTGAGGATAAGCAAAGGATAAAAGCTTGATGGTCTTCAGAAATGCTGTCAGTATTACAGTCCAATGTGTGCTCTCCAGACTACACATTTTGGAATCTCTTCAGAGTCATTCATGCAATTTTAAGCCATCCATGTTTCTGTAGCAACCCACTTTCTCATCATTTTCTTTACCTATCCTGTTATTAAATAGAAGAGAAGCGAAGAGTTCAGTTGGAAGGGACCTTGGAGGTCTTCTAGTCCAACCCCCTCCTCAGACAGGAAACCCTATACCATTTCAAACAAATGATTGTCCAATCTCTTCTTGAAAACTTCCAGTGTTGGAGCATTCACAATTTCTGGAGGCAGTTATTCCACTGGTTAATTGTTCTAACTCTCAGGAAATTTCTTCTTAATTCTAGATTGCTTCTCTCCTTGATTCATTGCTTCTTATCCTGCCCTCAGGTGCTTTGGAGAATAGCTTGACTCCCTCTGCTTTGTGGCAACCCACTACTATGATATCACCCGTAGTCCTTCTTTTCATTAAAGTAGGCATACCCAATTCAACATCTTTTTTACGTTGTGGTGACCAAAATAGTATTCCAAGTGTGGCCTTACCAAGGCATTATAAAGTGGTATTAACACTTCACGTGCTCTCCCTCTGTTAATGCAGCCTACAACTCTGTTGGCTTTTTTGGCAGCTGTAGTACATTGCTGGCTCATATTTAAGTGATTGTCCACTAGGACTTCAAGATCTCTCTCACAGTTACTACTATTGAGTAAAGTACCACCCATACTCTACCTGTGAATTTGGCTTTTCTTGCTTAAAGGTAGAACCTTGCTTTTTTCATCATTGAATTTCATGGTGGGAATTTCTTGCAATTTGTCTTATCAGTTCTACAAGATTTTTGGATAACAAGGCCTGCATATCTGCCTGAATACTTCACAACCTGGATTCCACTTCTAGTAATGACAAAAGGCACAGTAGAGATGTTAACATGTTTCTGTTTCTGCTGATTTACAATGAAATAGTTAATTTTTCTCCTTCATTGACCACAAGGCTTTAGAAACACATTGAAAGGAATAGCCCATTCTATCCTTATGGTATGAGAAGACTGAGAAATTATATATACGTATATAAAATTAAATTGGTTCAAGACTAGAAATAAGAAACCTTATTCCTTGGTTGTAGTTAACTATGGAAAAATCAGTAAATTCATCTGTAAGACATTTGAGTCTATGGGAAAGAAGAAGAAAAATTCTTTGGACTAGATTTAAAAATAGGTCTTCTGCAAGGTCTTGCTTAATTAACTATTGTTAATTAAACCATGTTTTTCTAGCGATGAAAAAGGGTGATTATACTCTTAAGGTGTGTTTTAATAGGTTAGATATTTGTTTCTATTGCAATTTATCATCCCTAATATTGCTTTGCAAATAGGGGAATTTATCAGATAGTTTAAAAATGGGAAGTATAATATTAAATTAAGTCACTTGTATTTCAGCCAGGTAGTTTTATTAAGAATACAATAGCTTTATTAGCTCTGCCGTCATAAGCTCTTTCTCTGAAAGAGGGGGCCAAAAGAATATTCATGATTTCCAGTGGGGCAACCATGTAAATCTATTACAGTAACTAAACCTCATCCCATAACAAATATCATCCTTTAAGATTGCTGAAGGATTGTTTTTGTTTCTATATAATAGTACTGCCAATTTCAAGAGGAAAAATTAAGCTTCCCTGTGAGACAAGTGTATAAATGTGATCTCAGCAATAACTATTTAGATTTGTAGCCAAATGACTAATGGCACTTAAACACTTAATTTTGACCAGAGGATGAAATAAAAAAAAATACTACTTAAATTCTGAATGTTTTTCAAAGAAAGCACAACTTTCCTTGATGTGCTCATAGTCTCAGGGGATATATTCTCTGGACATCTCTCATATTGTGAACCATGAACGCTATGCTTTACTCTGAAATCTATAAGTGTGGTAACCTAACTCTAGAAATCACTGTGGGTGATTGAAAATTATACATATGATCTTGTGCTTCAGATTTTATCTCTGGTACTCCAGAAAGTCTGTGAAGTGAATGAGAAGTTTAGAAATCCTGACTTCAGAGATTGAAGTTGAGATATCAAGTTTTTGTACTTTCTGAGAGATTAAAAAAATACCCTAAATCTCCCTTAAACATTTCAGTGCTGCTTATCTATTCCATATAATATGTTTGGAATAAGATAAGTATATAATAGAATTTTGGAATTACTGCTTACTTATTCTGTATTTTTCCATTTACATTCACATCCTCAAATCCTGGACTGAGAATAAATATCACATCAATATCTGAAAGTAAACGTTAAACATTTTAGTGACAATTGGATTTCATTAGTGTGAAGGAATTGAGATTCTGGAGGAGTAGATAAAAGTACAAAAGAAGTATCTATTTGGATTTGTTTCATTTATTTAAAATATTTATATAGCCACCTATCTTATAACCAACTCTGGGCAGCTCCCACTCAAAGTTTCCTAAAAGAGTTAAATAGATAATTAACAAAGGAACAGAGATATCTAACCACCCCCATGACTCTGAAAGAATTTCCTGCTCGCATCTAGCCACATCATAATATTTAAAACAATACAATAATTTAAGGCAAAATATCACATTTAACATCACTTCAAATTTTGGAAGAATTAGTCTGGAACAACAAGTGTTCCAAAATCATCAAGAGCGCACCAGATATATCAGTTTGGGCTGATCTTTGCAAACTAATACTCTGGGCTTTACATTTGGGTACCTTCAAATCCCATAAATGAATAGTTTATGCAAATTGAAATTTAGCCTTCTACCTACTAGATTACATTTCCCATAGCATAAATGTGAACGTTAATCCAACACTTTTGGATTGGAAACTTCAAAGAAAATTGACAATACTAGAACTACTTGCGTGAAATCATACTATTATAAAGTAAAATTCATTTGTGCTATCCATATTCTTAAGAGCTCAGCGACATGGAGGGCATAATCCTTAAAACAAAGCTATACATTTGAACAAACTTATTCTGAGAACAAAGATGGCTATATGATGCCACTAGATACCAATACATACATGATGAAACTAAGTATTAGGGCAGTGCTTCTCAACTGAGGAATTCTGAGAGTTGTAGTCCACACATCTTAAAGTTGTTAAGATTAAGAAACTCTGTATTAGGAGAATAGAATCTCCTTGCTGTCTGCCATTGCTGAACTACAATTCCCAGGGATCTCAGGGACAGTTCTGAAGAATGCTATAAAGCAGGGGTCCCCAACCACCAAGCCCCGGACCGGTACTGGTCCGTGGATCATTTTGTACCGGGCCGCCTACTTTGCTTGGGCGCCGCCATCTTGTTTCGACGGCGCTTGAGAAAGTGCTTCCGGGTGAGCTTGTAGATCGTCGGTTGGATGGAAAGCGGCGTTTGGGTGCTGAAGGAATCCTCGCGCCTTAGTTTTGTCGAAGGGGGGTGGGCGGCTTCGAACGAAGAGCCGTCCCGATGGCGGTGGAGTCTTGCGTTACTCAGGAGGAGATTAAGAAAGAGCCCGAAAAGCCCATCAGCCGCGAGAAGGTACAAAGGAGGAGTTGAAGGAGGCGGGGAGAAGCGGGGGACGGCTGGCTGGCCGGTTGCTCGGCTTGCCTTGCCTTGGTCATGCGTGCTGATGCCAGTACCGGTCCATGGATCATTTTGTGATGCCGGCACCAGTCTGTGGTACAAAAAAGGTTGGGGGCCACTGCTATAAAGTACAATTCAGGGACATCTTTAGAACAACAAATTCTCAGCTCTTGCAGCTGAAGTGAAATAATAATTTGATAAAGTATAAAGGACTTATTGTAGTCTGAGCTTCCCATATTATTTCCAGAAGACTTCCAAGAATAAAATACAGTGTTGTGACTGCTAATTGCCAAAAGCTCTACATAATACAGTTGTATAATTGGAGGTCAGTTTTCCAAAGAAGAATGACAAAGAGGCAAATGTCAGCAAGATGTCCCTTCATTGATCACCTATCAGAAAAATGCCAGGATTGTTAAAGAAAAGAAGAGAAAGCATGGTAGGAAAGGATGGAAAGTTGTATATATATTTGTCCTCGCTTTTATATACTACTTCTACTTAAGCTGCTTTGGAAGGTCTCCATCTAAACATTAATATATTTGTAGATTGTTGCTGGACCATCCTGGGACACAGCTCCTCTGGTATAATTTTTTAAAACATGCATTGTATGTTGTGTCATATGTTGAATTCCAGGATTTAATTCAAAGACTCTTTTAATGGCCTGCTGTCCTCACAGTACCGTTGTGCAAAATGACAAGAGCAATTAGATTCAGCCACCAGGTATTTCCAGGATGCCAGGTCTAGGGTGGTGGTGGTGGTGGGAATAAATACTGTAATTATGGGCCATAATCTTCCTAGATATCAGATGCTGCCATTGGCCTTACTATATAACAGGTGTCCCCAAACTTGGCAACTTTAAGGCTTGTGGACTTCAACTCCTAGAATTCACTGGCTAAGGAATTCTGCGAGTTGAAGTCCACAAGTCTTAAAGTTGCCAAGTTTGGAGACTTCTGCTATATAAGAATCCTTTTTGAATCACGCAAATGGCTGTGTAAAAAGGAGATAAATTGAGGATAATCCCATTGTTTGAGGAGAACAGTTGATCCACAGATTGTATAGACATATCTGACTGCAGACACAACTCTCTAATGCAGTGTTTTCCAAGCACTGTTCTAATGCATAATTCTTAGTAGTGACGGTTGACATACATCTGCCCTTTGGGAGGCAAGGGTTTGGCTTATTAGTCACTCTCAGGGTTTTTTCCCCACCAGTGGACTGAAGTTCTTGTGCTGCCAAAAACCAAATTGTATTGCTCTTATTCCCTCCCTCGTGTCTCCATTTAGGCCCTGCCATTTCAGAGACACACCCATCAGCTGGCTCTCCACTGCTCAGTTTCCTTCTCAGGAAATGTTTGCCCTTCTGTGTTTCCGGCAACTGCAGAGCATGTCCATTATAGAGTCACTGTGCAGTGGAGGAGAGGATGTACTGGAGATACATCATATTTTGCTTGGGTGGCTAGGTAGGCTGTTCTGTGCAAAAACTTTCATTTTGGGCTTAGAATTCTGGGTGATGACAGCCACACATCTTAAAGTTGCCAAATTTGAAAAACATTGCTTTGGGGGAAATTAAAAGTATTAAAATATATATTATTTTTTTAAAAAAAACACAAAATCATTTAGATGCTGGGTCAGCACTTTTGGATCTCTGCTGCTCCTGCTGAAGTAAGGAACTGATTCCAGGGTTCGTTTGCTTTTTAAGCCGGCTGGATAGGACGGATAGTAGGAAAGTGAGACTGGAAGACCTGAACAAATGAAAAGGAAGGGAAATTCTGTGAAAGACACAATCTATGGACAAGCTTTAAATAACAACAATTTCTCTCTCTCTCCCCCCTCCCTCCTTCCCTCCCCCTCCCCCCCTAATTACAGGGTGTTTCTGGGGGACTGTCAGGAGCGCCCAAGAAAATGTCAGCTGACAGCTTGTCAACCAAAGCCCTAAAGGTAAGGACATAGCTATTTGAAAAAACACATTTCTCTCTGTCATTTTTTTTGCCAAGATAGGGGGTCTCCTAGAGATTTCACATCCCTTCCATAAAACTCTGGTATTTTGCTACAACAGATCAACCATCATGACTTAAATCAGTAATTATTATCTGGCATTAAAAAAAAAAAACAGCATCCAGAGTTCTTACTGGAAGAAAAGTAAACCTTACAAGTTCTACAGAATTTCTGCACAATTTGTGTACATCTCCTTTCCCCTGATCTTCTCTGCAATTATTCTAGCCCCACCTTTCACTTTCCCTCTTCTCTGTGCCCTTACTTCCTTGTTCTCTGTACCCTCCATTTCTCCATTTTTTTCTTCCTGCTTGTGTAGCTGTTCACTTTCTCCTTTGGCCTGGTGAACACGTGTGTGGAAATTCGTATGGAACTAAATTATTTTCAATAAGTTGATGCAGGACTTCTTTTTAAATAATAGCCAGTCTGTAATCCACATACTTGCTGAAGCACATACGGACACATATTTGCAAATGGTTCTAGCAGCATTGAGCCAAAAAGGGAAGGATGTTCTGTGTCTTTCCTAATGTAATTTTTCTCTCTGAGAGTTATTGCACTGATGTGGCTTTGTTAATGTGAACTATAAATTCTTGCCATACATATGCATACACAAACACATTTTAGTAAGCTGGGCCCCTATTACTTTTCTCAGAAATATTTGAAGAACGACACTTGCTTCTCCATATAAGTATTTTCCCTGCTTGAATCCAAGAAAAGAAACAACAAAAAAATGACACTATTGCCTCCTCATTCTTAAGATCATCACATTGTTTGTTTAATAGCAATAGCACTTAGATTTATATACCGCTTCACAGAGCTTTATAGCCCTCTGTAAGCTGTTTATAGAGTCAGCATATTGCCCCCCAAAATTTGGCTCCTCATTTTATTGATCTCAGAAGGATGGAAAGTTCAGTCAACCTTGAGCTGGTCTGAATCCAACTCCTGGAGTGTGAGCAGTGAGTTAGCCTGCAGTACTGCATTCTAACCACTGCACCACCACAACTCTTCAAACACAAACCTGGAGGACAGAGGCAACCATTATTGTGTGCAGGTAAAGTAAGGACTGGTGGAGGTGTGTCCTGCAGAGAAGTCACAGAAATTGTCAGGAAAAGCCAGCCCCTCCTTTATATTAGAGTAAATAAATCCATTCTTCATTGTCAGCTGTAAGTTTTTCCAAACAAAAATCCAGGGCAGTAATTTTGGGAACTGTATTTATCTGCTTCACCTTTCTAGAAGAGGAAACCAGCATGTTAATTTAGAACAGATTTTGTATGAAACAGCCAGGGGTAGGTATGCTCACCCCAAGGTTTTTTAGGGAGCCAACAATTATTGTCCGGAAGCTGGTGAATTTTGTCAAAAGGCCTGCAACTAAGCAAGTATTAGGAAATTATGATAATATCATAATGACAATATTCAATTATAACTTTGTTTTTAGCAATGCATGATCTGCAAAGGAACATTGTGCTCTTATTTACATGTCTTTGTTTTTGTGACACTATTAGAAATTGTATACTGATTAAACAAAATAGTTTCAAGCAATATTTAGTAGTTTAAGTGTGGAAACTCAGACTAGGTTTGATTATTTAGCGAAATGGCCACTTCTAATTATTTATTGCCTCAAAGCAATTTGAATAGGAATGGCTATTCCTGCTTTGTTCCTATAAGCTGGAAAAGTCAGGACAATCAAGTGTTGATTTAACTTTTGCTTAGAAACATCTGAAGGCAGAGAAATTGCAAATTCGGTTCAAAAAGAGGTATTTAGAAATTGATATGGAATGCAGCCAGTAGCATCTGAACTGTAGCAGGAAAATATCACATGTGTCTTACACCAATATTGAGCAATACTTAGTCACTGTTATACGATAACTTTGATGTTCTCAAAAGCTAATGTCTCAAATACAGTATATAGTTATTTTCTCCATTGAGAGTTTGGAAACATAATTTTTCTTCTCTTACTACATAGTCTGCATAGGATTACACTGTAAATGTTCTATGATCCCATACATAAAGGATCATATCGAACCAATTTTAAGATTTGCATCCTGGATCCTGTTTTTTAATTCCCCCTGAATCAGATTTGTCTGATTAATCCCAGAAATGGAGTATCTTCTGCAATGATATCTGGATTTCGGCACTTCTTTCCCAAAGAGCTACTTGAGATCCAATACTAGATATATTTGTGTTGCTCTAGATTTTTTTCCTCTGAATCTAAAGAACATTCCATCTTTCAAAAATGCTTTATAAGAGAAAAAAATGAAATTGACATAGAATGCAATTTCTGTAAACTAATTGATGAACTGGATCAAAGAGTTAAAACAATGAAGTTATTGGGGGAATTACATAAAAGAAACATAAAATTTTATATTTGGTTGCAATTTCTGCTGCTGTGAAATAATAACACTGATAAGATGGAAGATTAAAGAAGTCTTTAAAGAAACAAAGTGATGGGAATAAATCCAGACTGAGCGAGTCATACTTTGATCCTACTTATTTAGTTGATGGGTAACTTGTATTGATTCAGTTGACACTGATTTAAGTACACAACCCTTCTACTGAGAAGTAAATTCTGTTAAGTTCATTGGCGTCTAGTCCTGGCTAAATAATTTAAAGATCTTAGTCAAATCTTCAAACTTCAAGACCTTATTATAAAATCAATTAATTTTATTAGGAGGAATTTATAATATAATTATTACCATGTAAGGAAAAAAACCTTAATTTAAAAAACATTGCAGAAAATGTATACAAATAACAATGCCTACATACTATTGCTACAAACTGTTCCCCTGTTGTTGTTTTATTCTTCTAGGTTCCCACTGCTCTTTCCAGTTGTTGTTTTTCCCATACTTCTGCTGATTCTCAACTATTCGATCCTTTTCTTAAACAGATCAAACGGGAGATGGGTGAGAACACACCACACCTTTCAGACGAGGAGCTTATGGGATTGTCAGTGCGGGAACTTAACCACCATCTGAGAGGCCTGTCCAAAGAAGAGGTAGCAAGATTGAAGCAACGTCGGCGCACTCTGAAGAATCGTGGCTATGCGGCCAGCTGCCGAGTAAAGAGAGTGTGTCAGAAGGAGGAGCTGCAGAAGCAAAAGACAGAGTTAGAAAGGGAAGTTGATAAGCTAGCGCGGGAGAATGCTGCCATGCGCCTTGAGCTGGACGCCCTGCGTGGCAAGTATGAAGCGCTGCAGGGCTTTGCCCGTACAGTCACTGCTCATGGCACTGCTGCAAAGGTGGCAACTGCCAGCGTTATCACCATTGTCAAATCTGGTTCCAACCAGGCCACCTACTCCTAGTGCCTACAAGCTGAGCCATGAACTAAGTCCTGTTGCCATGCCTCTGCACAGCTCTTACCTAAAGCAGCTGTAGCTGCACTGGCTCTTTCCTTCTCCCACTTTTGTTCTACCCACTGGAGGAGACACAGTTGACTTGAAGACCAAATGGCTAAATGTTGAACTTTGTCCTTAGTCCTTGCCTTCATTGAGATTGTGGGAAAGTGGTGCCCAACTTGTGTAATTTTAGCTGTCAGTTACTTGTGAATTGGATTACAGTGGCCAGTTATTTTTCTTTTCCATTTTATATTTGTTAGGTTTTCTTCTCTGCTGCTTCATACCTTACAACTGATTAAATGTAAAACAGAGAGATTTGAAGATGAGATACCTTAGTTGGAAATGCTGCTTCAGAGAAGTTTTGACAGCAATTATAGAGAAAGGTAGATAGCTTCTATCTGATGGGGAAAAGGGGGGATGCCAAGATTGAAGTCTCCTTTTAATGTCTAAAACATAGTGATTATAATAATCCAGAAGTTATCAGAGGATATCAATTTCCCAGTTTCTTGGTTCGTTGTTCAGACACAAGTCTAGGTATTCATGTATAACTCTGTCTGCTTTTTGTTGTAAACCATAGTTCCCAGTTAACCTACTGTTTAATTCAGAGCCACTTGATTGCTTCAGCATGAAATTGTTATTTTACAAGAATCAGTCTGAGCCTTTGATGAATAGACATTTTAAAATAGTCAAGAAAAGTGTTATTGCTTGGTGACTGCAAAGATGATAGAAAAACGGATCAGAAAGGGACGTGTCAAGAAAAGAGCTAGTTGCTGCTAACCACACTAGGAAGAAATAATGGAATTATGCCCATTGCAGTGATTGGAGAAACAATCTTTCTGCAACTGTGTGTGGATGCAGCTGTACTCCAAATACTGTTTTGATTGTAAAAGTGCTCTTTTGCTGAGGTTATAAGATTTATGGACAAAATAGAAGCAGTTTTCTAAAGACAGAGAGAGAGAGAGAGAAGGAAATAGGAAAAGTAAAGAGGGAGTGTATTAAATGAGGCAGGAGTGGATAAAGCAAGTGAGACTGATGGATAGTGAAGGGGCATCAGAATTGCAAGTGAAGTTCTAGAGAAGACACTGAGGTCTAAAACAATTAGTTCCACGAGGGGTACAAATAGCAACAAACAGAATGTAATGAAGAGAACCTTTTGTATTTTCTTTCTGTTTTTGCATTGGCAAAAGACTAGAAATAGAAACTCAGGAAAGAAATATACACAACTATTACAGAGATTAAGACATTTTATGTTCAAGAGAAGCTATATGAAGGTTGGCCCACCCCAAGAAGCAGTACAGGCAATTGGGTGTGGGATTCTAAGGGGTTCAGAATCAGTCCTAAACATAGCGATGGGATGTAACCTAGCATAGCTCTTCCAGTTTCTTTTTTCTCCTCAAAAACAAGTTGAGAAAGATCCAATCACTTACATAGAAGAAGGAAAAGAGGCTTCAGTTGGAAATACATTGGTGAGGAATATAGTTCCTCTGTGCTGTTTTGTGGCCTATTTTTTTGCCTCATTCAGCTGTGTAAAATGCAAGATGCATTTCTATTTAGGAAAGTGTAGTAGATGAAATTCAAAATGTTTTTCTTCTTTATATCTGAAGGATGCATTTTCACAAGAGCAGCAAAATAGTTTAAATCATAGCCAAAAATAACTTCTGTCATGAAAATAAAACTTAGTTTGGTCTAAGCTAGCACAATGGCAGACTTAGGTTCTCCTGGGTGCCATTGTGTTTGTCCCTTGTTCTTTTAAGATAATATTCTCATATGCACTTAGTAGTATTTACTGTAAAAACCACACTGTTCAATTTTTAAAAATGTTTACAATCACAATCTTGCCCCTTTCATTGTAGTAACTTTTATACCGTCCAGTGGTTTTCCAGATGTATTCTGCCATGTTGGCTGGAAATGTGAATTGTAGAGAACACAAATTGTAGAGAATTGTAGAGAGAAAAAACTGATACCATTCAAAGCCTAACTTAGTAAACACAAACTTAAACAGTGTATTGTTTCCCTTTCTCTGCCATGCTGTCATGAATCCCATATGCCATTTAAACCAAGCTGCCTGCATGTACACACAGAATATTACTAGCACTGGACTTGTAGAATCAGCTATTGATATACTTCCTATCTGTATGCCTTTTTGGCCAAGCAGTTTTAGCCCATTGCCTTCTCATTTTAAAGTGGGTATGAAGTTTTATGCCAAGCATGGATGATATGAGAATAGCTCATCTGTACCAAGAGACACTGGCAGCTCCATTGCTTAAGAAACTGGGAAGTTTATACACCTGGGAGACATGGATACAGTAATTCTGTAGAAAGCATGGAGAAGGGTTAGATTAGAAGACTTAGGAAAGTACCTTCTTCCATTAAATATATGTTGCTAACATAAGAACCAGTGAGTATTTGTGGGTAATCATTTCCAGGCATGTGCCAGTGACTTATTTAAGTGGCAAATATGATCCATTTTTTTTTAAAAAAAGACATATGGTTGGATTTACCCATCCTGCAGCTTAACGTGACTTCTACCCCTAAGATGGAATCAGCTTCCAAACCAGTGTTGTCCATCCTTCCTCTCCATCCTTTTGATCCTTAGTGGGGATTTCCTCTTTAACGTTTCTACCCTTGTCACCCTATTTTTCCTTATTCCTACCCTGTGATTTATTTATTGCACGAATATAAGTTATTTTCACATTCTTTATGCCGTTCTGCCTTGTGGCACGGCCGGGATGTTGGTACAGAGCTGTACTTTATATTTTATATATGCAAATCACATTTTATCTTCTATAGAGCAAGAAAAAAAGTACTTATTTATTTTCTGACTTACAGTAAGTGTCCTGCCAGACTCCTCTGTATTTTGTAGAATTTACAAATAAAGCCAGATTTTTTTTCCAAAATGGAGAAACTGAAAAAAAGTGATATGTGCTCTTTTTTTGTGAAAATGAAAGGGATTGTGCTGAAGATCTAGGGATCAATTCTGGGAATTTCATTGAAAATGAATAATATACAGCATTAATTTTATGTCTGCTGGTCATTTGCACACATAGTAGAGAATCTGCCATGCACTTTTAGCATCTTTCAACATCAGGTAAGGTTGGGGGGATAAAAATCTGCTTCTGAGTTATTGGAAGCCACTATTGGGAGTATTTTTCCAGCTTTTAAGGATGATGGATGTATCTCTTATTTAAACGCACCACAAAGTGCTATTGTGATTTGGCCAATCACAAAACACATTTTTGTGAGAAAGCCAATAAGATTAAAATACTGTACAAATCATTAATCCAATCTTAATAAAACATGAAACAGGTCTAAATTTAGGAATACATAATTATTTAAACAATGGTACAATTTTCAATTCTTAGAAATACTTCTGAGGCTAAAGAAAAATAATTTGCTTGCCATTATTTTGTGGCCAAGGTGAAATCTGAGATCCAAAATGCAAACCCAAAATCTTGAAGTTATTTTTCTATCCTTCATTCTGTATTCTTCTTTCACAATTGCACAATCCAAATGCAGCATGCAAGAGTCCCTCATCCAACTTAGCCATTTCTCTTTCAGGCTATCTTTAAGCCTTTATGGCTTTTCATCCATTGGGATCACACTCAACCCCATGCTCCCTCAGTCATACCTGAGTATAAATACAAACACTTCAATATATATGGACTGCAAATATTCAAGGAATGATTAGATGCCATCTAATCTTCTGGTATTAAAAAGCCCTTCTCATGGTTACTATGCAGAGTTGTCAATACTTCTCACTTTCTGGATACTGAGAGTAAAGTCGGAATCGTTTACTTTTCTTTCTTCTTTTCTTAGAGATAACAGAGCCCCAAAGTCCTGGGGAATAATTGTGGCAATGACCTGGTTTACACATTTTTCAGACCACTTTCTAACTATAAATATGTGGAGCATTTTATCTGCATAAAACAAGAGGATTACAAATAAGTTTTTTAATCTAGCACAAGTAGTTTCATGGTAGATGCACTGCTTTGCTCATTGTTTCAAAATGAAGCATTTGTAGCTTTGCTTTGTCCTATCAAAACAAATACCAATTCACTGTAAACACAGATTGAGTTTTGAATCAAGCCAGTACAGAAGCTGTAAGGACTGAGGAGCCACAGTTCCCAGACTAAAGAGACCTTTGGATATTAATATATCTCAGTAACCTCCTAAGGGTATCAAGAAAGCAACCAATTAACTCCTAGCTTCAAAGGGCAGACAGAAAAAGTTCAGAGTTTAAACTCTGGAGCATTATATATTTATGAAGGCTCTGACTTCTTGACTGTGTGGTGGATAATCAGCTGTTGTGTTCAGGCCTCCTTGTCGGCAATAATAATTCAGCCTTAGCTGAATTAAGCGTCTTCTACCTAGTGCTGAATAAGATATTAAAAGGTTGAAGAGCAGTGATTTACTGCTGAAGCATGGTGTGAAGTGTGAAGACGTACTGTAAATTGGCTTTCTTACAAAACAAACAGGTAAATTCTTGCATACAAATCTCATTGTATATTAAAACATAGTAAGAATAGAACCATATAAACAGCCTCATCCAGAGCATTTGTATTTTGAGATGCATTTATTTTAGTTCAGCCCTTTAGCTTGGTAAATGCCACATGTCCTCAAAGAAAATGAGATCATTTTGGAAGGATAAATCAGATCTCACTGATACTGAAGAATGACCATGCATTAATAGACAGGAAGTTTCCTGACTAAACAAAACTATAGCAGTTGCAGCTGTGCACATCTAACCAAAAAAGCAGCAGAAGAAACAAAACTACAACTGCCACGTGCACAAAAGTATTAAAATAGTGACATGAGGACTCTTGTCACAGGCAGAACAATAAGTAATCTCTGCCAGATAAAAGCAGCTCTAAAATGAGACAACTATGAAGCAAAGCAGCTAGAAAGAAACATATCTTGGAATGTGGCCTACAGGTCACAGTTTGGCAACTGGACTTGCCTATTCCACATTCCATAGACTTGTCATCATTATAAAAAGTTTCCTATTTACATATAGGGGAAAAGCACACACACACAAATATACACACACAGAGGTTACTTAAGGGACTGGTTCTATCAGCAGCTCAAAATGTTTCTAAGTAAATTACACTTGGCCCATATAAATGAAACATGACTACAGTAGTCAGAGTTTTCAAAATACTCTGTGGGACATGAGTGGGAAGGTTTAACAAATTATTTTCTTGGCAAAACCATGTTAAGTAGTATTTACATGTTACCTGGAGCAGTATTTCCTCCACTATCAATATAATGTTTTCTGTTTAGGAGTTAAAGACAACTTGCAATCTTCGTTTTCCATATAACATATAATAATGAATGCCAGGCTAAATATCAAAAATTCATGAAAAGCTGTAAATGGATCCTAGTTGATGCATGACTATAGTGGAATGCAATTCTAATAAGAGAATAGAAAAAGTCACCAATTTTCTCTAGGGTTAGGATCCCACAGATGAAGGAGGCCATCTTCATGGAAAAATAGATTAAGGATGACAAGCAGTTTATACATTTAGTTAACTGATTTATTACAGTTCAAATGCAAGTCTCGGGCCAGTTTGTAAAGAACAAAAATGGTACCCACAGTGAAAACCATGTTGCAGCTATACAGATTCCTATGAAATGAAACTGAAAATCCTTTCCCTTTGAGACTTGGCTTCCTGATGTTTTTCCACCACACTTTGATTTCAGTAGCCTACAAGATGGCATAATTGGAAGCAATTGTTCAGTGCAACATTGCTACTCAACTGATGGCAAATGGAAGAATCCAAATGTGTATCCTCATTTCTGCCATGAACCGAAAGGAATAAACAGCAAATCTTTGCTGCTGCAGGTAAGAATGTTTCTCTTTGAAAAAAAAAATCTTTTGTATCCCCCAAACCCATGATCCATACAAAAGCTTCTCACATACAAAAGCCTGAAGCTATATAAAAAGTGGATGAAAACAAATGACTGAATTGTGAGACAAGAGAAATGAAACTATTACAGACAGGCAGATTGTATTTTGCAGAAGGGTTTATCCTAAAAATTACAGATGGAAACTGCTTTCACTATAGAAGGGCAGTGGACATGATAATAACCTTTGAACCATCAAGGACATTCAAAGAAAGCTATAGAGTAGGGGAGTCAAACTCATGTTGTCACGGCTGTGTCATGTGACATATGGGGACTTTCCCCCCCCCTTTGCTAAACCGGCCCGTGGGCATCCGGCCCGTGGGCTGTGAGTTTGACAGTCCTGCTATAAAGAAATGGAAAAAGGCCCATCAAACCAGCTTTGCTCCATGATCAAGGGCATATTTTAATATTGTGAGCTGCCCAGAGTTAACATATGGTAAGAAGGGCAGCCAATAAATTGTATAAATAAATAAAATAAATCTACACTAATACTGCTGAAGGAATCTCATTTTGGGAAAGTCAAGTCACAGAAGCCAGAAATGTTCTTCTGAGAAACTTGTTTGTCATAAATAGAATATTTTGCAGCTATCTATACGGAGCTGAAGTGGTAGGACAAAATTAAAATCTGATACCATAAAGCACTTCCTTTGAGGAGCAGTTGTATATCCTTAGTTTTTCTGCCAGACTATGGAAAGTAGACTATGGAATGTTTTATTTCCAACTGGAACCCCAGTTGAAAACCTCATATTGCCTTGATTATTTTATAGTTAGTTTCAAAATCAGAGGAACAAAATCTAAAATGTATGTACTTTGCGGTCAGATTTTTGGACAGGAATATTATCTGAGTTAAGCATTGGCTTAATTAGCTAATTAATTCCTCAGTTGGCTGAGGAATTCTGGGAGTAGAAGTCCACATATTTTAAAGTTGCTGAGGTTGAGAACTACTGGTATACCTAATACTCATTTCTACGCCAGGAAGCTAATGGTCAATGTGTACGTGAAGATTTCATTACAGAGTCTGACAAAGAAGTAGAAAACTTAAAGATTCCCCCCATGCAAGTACTTTAAAAAAGGACCCATTCCATATACAGTTCATAGAGCCACAATGTTATACTGCTGCCCAAGGTACAAAATAGAACCAGAGGATAATCCAATGTGAAAGGACTGAAGTAATCAATTAATCAACACCTCATTGGTACTCAAGCAAAATGGAAGTGTTTGTAGTTGCGTTCCTGAAAGCAATAGCATCTTTTTTGCAGGTTTGCAAAGAATTCTGAAAAAATGGCCCTCCTTATAAATACAGTAAATAGCAGAGAAGTGTTTGCACGAGGACCAAAGCACTTTTTCTGAATAATTTCAAATCACGATTACACAGAATTCAGACCAGAAAGAGCAAAACAAGTTTGTCAAAAAAGAAATGCAGATCCTTTTCTTTACAGCTGATGGTCTTCCACAGTTTGCAGGTGTTTGGATACTCTCAGTGCTTGATGCAGCTAGTGGGTTTTGGCAGATACAGTTACACTCGACAATGCCAAATTAACCATGTTTATTAGGCCATTTGGTACATTTTTCTGTAAAAGATCACCACTTGGGCTTTTTAGCACTTTTGAGTTCTTCCAGAGGGAAATGTGCATTCCTGCAACATCTGGAGGCTGTTTTGGTTTTTATAATCTTGAAACTATTTGGGATTAAAGTCATAGTAGGTATGAGCATGATCAGTGACAATTTTAAATCTTATAAAATTCATATGCTACAAGCTGAACTAAAGTAAATGAAGCTTATGACTGAAAAAAAATCACAATTCTGAGACATTACATAAATGAAATCAACTTGAGTTCCAAAGGAAGTGGAACTATTTTAGGAAATAACCTTGCGGAACATAGATTTTATCAAGGAGATTTGGAAACAAAGACTGTTACAAGATGTAAAAGAAAGAGGAGGTCTGGGTTTACCGGATTTGAGATTTATTTTGCAACTTGTGGTTGGTCTGGATGAAAGAACGGATGCTGCTGAGAAACAAGTGATATTTAGAGTTGAGGATCATCACCTGAGGCTTGGATAGCATGGATACTTATGGTATGATAAGTGAAAATGTTGATTTTAAAAACAATTTCATTAGTTGTACTATATTGAAAATATGATATAAAGCCAAGTAATGCCCCCAAATACTTCTGTGGATCTCAGCTCAAGAAGTATGCCACAAAAGAGAAACAGCAGACAAAGACAAATGGTTCACATATCAGGAATTATTGGAAAACCATCAAAGGAAACTTAAAATTAAATCAAAAGAGCAATGAATAGCAGAAAGAAATAGTTATTAATGGTTTTCTTGTTTACAGTTATCAGAAAGATCCAAAATGGACAAAAAGACTTATAGTATGTATCAAATGGAATTTGAGGCAGAATTGACCATGAAAAACTTGTAATTGCTAAAATGTATAAACTTTTGTTGAAAATTGGAAAACAGGGAAACTAGGTTAAAGAATGTATGATAAAGTGGGATAAGAAGTTTGGCTCTAACATAGACATGGATCAATGCGTGACTAAAATGTCTGAAAGTTACACTGAAAGTTACATTCTTTATTATCTTAAAGAGAATTTTTATAAAATGATATACATGATGCCAGAGAAATTATCTAGAACAAGGGTGTCAAACTCAAGGCCCATGGGCCGGATCTGACCAACGGGTGCTTAGATGTGGCCCATGGGGCCAGCTTAGAAATATCAAAGGACTGGCCAGTGGTGCCTCTGCCAGCGTGACAACCCCCCCCCCCACAGCCTGTTTTCAGCCTGCAGAATGCTGCAGAGGAGGCGGGGGGGTAAAATGCCCCCCTCCCCACAGTTTTCAGCCTCCACTGGTCCTTTGATATTTCCAGGCCAGCCCCATGGGCGGGGGGCAGAGTGCAGCAGGAGGCAGCACCTTCTTCGCCTTCTATTTAGCAGCATCTGCCAACTGGAACTAGGTACCCTCTAAGATCTAGATGGCTGTTGTTTAGAAGAGCCAAAAACATCTGTCTCTTCACCCAGGCTTTTAATGAAAGAGAATGAGCCCCCTCCTATCACTGAGTTTGTCATCTTTTATCTTTTACCTGTGATTGGTTTAAGTGTAAAAATTTTTTATTGTTGTGAGCCACCCAGGGTCATTGAGAATTGGGTGTTATATCAATTTTGTAATTACTAATATTAAATCCTCCTCTATGGCTGTGTCAGAGGTAGCAACGAAGATTGATAGATGGTTGGACAGTTTTTAGAAACATCTGGAGAAATTGACAGTTCATTTATGCTCTGCTCCTATACAAAGAGTGAAGCCTCATAGCAGCTGGAGACTCTACATGTCTTTAATTTCTACATTATGGTATTGAGACTATTTGTGCCAGAAAGTAAATCTCCCTTTCTCTGGAGTAGCTGTTTTGGATGCAAAGGGAGGAACAATCTATCTTGAGCCTGTGACAAACGCCCACCATGACCATGCCC